ACTGGTTTTCCAGCGTCTTCCAATCGCTGCAGATGCACTGCCGCGTATTTTGTAATCTAGCCGACTAGCGTCAAAACAAATCAGGAAATCATGAGATTCACGGCCAAAAACAAACTACACACATGAAGCTATTCAGGTCCAGGCATTTCGGAGAAAACCAAAGAAATTAAGGTTATTTAGCCGCAATAAAAAAGCTTAAGGCTTAAAACAGAGGTAAAAGAAAATTATTATGGAAAACTGCTTCTGTGATCAAATCCTGTCAGAAAACATCTGTAGAAACCAAAGTGTGTAGAAACATAAACCACAGGAACTAATTACTCAATATGCATGGAACAGAACGACCAGCTTCATAACCTCTAAATGTGAGACTCAAAGCGGCAAAAACATTTTGCTCAGTCAAGGTGTATAATACTCCATGCACTGCATAAACTATGCAAAAAGCGAGCATGAAAAGCCTCTGTTGTTCAAGCTGACTCTAAGGTCACATTTCACGCTATCACGAGCTCAGTCTCTCTTGTCACGAGCTATTAGTCTTGTTTGGCCTGTCAACACTTAATTCAAATCGGACTAATCACAAACTGCGTAAGAAACTAGCCAATCAAAAACGCCGACATATGTCCCTGCGACTCCGCGGGATTCGAACACGATCTGGTGCACTAATTCGCAGACGCTCTATACAGAGGGTTTAGAGCGTCTTCGACGCAGGCAACCTGCCCCTTGCATGACCATTTTTGCCTGGCACGAGGTTTTGCTAACTTTCTAGCTTTCAATTAAACCAGTTAAATTTACTTGTCGTAATTGTGTATTTAATTTAAATTGTTATGTGGCATATACGAAATTCTGTTATAAATTTAAGCCGGAAAAGTGACATTAATAGTCTTTAACTTCAGATACAATGTATTAATTTTTGGCTTGACTTTACAGACTCCCCTTCCAAATTGTGCTTGAAAGATCTTAGTGAAGACGTGACTGCAGAATTGACGTCCAAACTTCGAAGCGACCCAGTCACACTAGAGAGATTTTACCAGTCATTCGGGCTTGATCCTAAGAAACTGAGCGCAAGGGGATTAAGGAACATTGGAGAATTTTTTCCTGACACTCCTGTCAAGCTACTGAAAGACGTTTTGGAAGCACTGCGTCTGTATGACCTTGTAGAGTTGCTGGAGAAAGTAACAAAGCCACGCACACTTCGTCCTGCTCTTTCACTGAAAGAAATAGAAAAGTTACCCAATGTCAGTGATCGCCCTACGAAATTTTACAGTAAAGCACAAGTCTTGATTATCGAGTACTCTGACAGTTCTGCTAGAGATGATGATGCAGAAAGAATTGGATCATTTTTTAAAGGTCTGAATCCACAGAGCCAAGTAACTACTTTAAGGGCAAAGCCACCGGGGGAATTATTTGAAGAACTAGCAAAGTTAAGAGAAACCCAGGGTAAGAAAGAAGACGAAGTCTTGCTAGCAGAAAGTAGAGAAACGATGCTTAAAGATCTTCTAGAAAAGAAGATACCAAGTAGTTGGTATGGTGGTGAACGGAGAAGGATCTGGTGGTCAAGAGAAAGATTCATCCCGGACACGAATGAACAGCTGTTAAGCCTTTTCTACAAAGAGGAGCCAGAGATGAAAAAAGAACTAAAAGAGCTGGTAGAAAAGAGGGAGCAGTGGACCAAAAAAAGAATTCCAGTTCTCGAGGAGATAAAACAAAAAGAGGAAGAACTAAAGGAAGAGAAAGAGAAGTTTAAAATGGCTGTTTCAGGTGTCATCGACAAATGGATAGAACAAGCAAATGATGAAGGTTAGTCAACACAAATCTATCAGCGCTGAAGTGTTAATTCCGTTTGTGATTAATTCTGTTTTAACTAAACCGAAAACCCAGGGAAGGGCTCGGGCGCTGCCCCCACCCCTCACAGCCTCCCATAACTCACAGGACTAGGCAGAAAGAAGAGGAAGTGCAAAACATTTGTGTGTGAAGAACGTGACAGGGCTTTTACAAAAAAAGATCTGTTCAAAAGGAAGGTTTAGTTTGTCGGGAATTCATAAGTATTGTCACGCTTGTCACACTAGCTTGTCTCTTGGAATGCCAGGAACACCTCCAAAAGATAGTAAGTATTTAACAGCAGAGGAATTAAAGTTACTTGACTAGACAACACGACAATACCATTCACTCTGTTGTATCTTTTTGAACAGTAGCGCTTATGGCAATGGTACGATTTCCTCCAAATTCATTACAAAACCTGCTTAATGCGAGCAATACCATTTCCGTTCTCGCGCTCCTTTTCTTCTAATCATGGATAAATCATTGATAAATGATGGTTAGTCAACTAGCTATAGAGATTTCGAATGTGTTATATGTATTCGTGGGTTACCGTAAATGATCGATAAAGCGCCGCGGCGCTTATATCATTTTCCCTGTTATAGGTGCGGTGCTTACACGAGAGCGACGCTTATTCGAGAGCGGCGCTTATTTCAACTATGGGTAAAACACTGAAGGGAGTATAGAGAGAATTAAGTGAGGCACGTACTAGGTATTCACAATTTGATATATTCATGTACACCTTGAAATCTAAATTTCATGAGTGTACAATTCAGGATTGTCAAGATTGTACCCCATCATGGAACTACATTCTCTATCATTTGGTAGCTTTAAGGTGACTCGACCCAGTTTTTTTTTTTTGGGGGGGGGGGGGTACTGTTTCTGGTTTGTCTTTATACAGATTTTTTGTTTAGCACGCGTGCAATGCCCTCGTTTGCGTAAAACCGAAATGCTCCTC